GCAAAGGGCTGAAAGGGGTTGAGGGTTCAGGGTTGAGGGGCCTATATAATTACCAATATTATGTTCCCTTGAAAGGCTTCTAGCGGTACGTATACACACATATGTCTATATATATATATATGTAGGTGTGGGGCTTAGGGTTGAGGCTTTCGGGTTGAGAGTTCAGGGTCAGTCAGGGATTAGGGATGAGCGTTTAGGACTAGAGTTGCGAGTTTAGGGGTTAGGGTTTGGGGTTTAAGGGATAATGAGTCAATCCCCTTCTCTAAGTGACTTGGGACAAAAAATCGGGTCTCTATGGTTTGTATAGAGCCGCCACAATATATCGGCGTGTGCAGATCATGGGAAAACGATATGAAATGATAAGAGTAAATAAAACGCTAACGCAGTACATTATACAGTCATGATTGATGGGAAAGGATAAGAACAAAAAAGCTAACTCATGTGCAAAATTGGATAGAAGGCTGGCTTGGCACGGCTCAAATAGTTGACCGCTGCCCCAAAAGAATGACTAGATCCCTATACAGTACCATTCCATAACAGGTGCAAACTTCATCAGTAGGGGGTTGGTGAGTTTCGTTGAGAGGGATTCAAGAATGTAGGGACTAAGCGGTTTACGTCTCTTTGTGGGTTCAGGGGTGTAGGCGTAGGGCTTAGGGTCTAGGGGTATATTTGTCTTGGCGATTAGGCGAGCATGTAGGGTTTGACCACCAAATTTCTGCGAAACCCGAAATGAAGATGGAACATAAAGAGGCTTTCCTGGGATGACACAGAAAGCGTGGCTCGCCTTCCGGGGCCTCGATAGCATCAGCAGTTTCCTTAGCACCGCCCCTATACTACCTATCCCTCCAACGAAACCCATGACCATAGCATGGATCCTGTCATTCCAAAAGGGGCAGTGGCTTGAAAGTTGGTCGCTCCTTAGCTCCGGGACAGACTTTTCAGGTTGGTGGTAATGTATACTTGGTGCGATGTCAGACTACAAAGGCCGAGGGAGGTACCTCTAGTGGAGAATAGACTCGGGTCTGCAGCGTTGAAGACAACAGGGGGCGGTCCGAATAGCATGGTGAAGCAGTGTAGCATAAGCTGCGCAAGGCTGTCTCTTGGGCTTGGTAGTTTCAAGTAGTATGACTCCATGACCAAAGTCTCAATGCTATTGATAGCATTGAAGAATTCAATTCGTACATGATTGTTCAGAGGGTCCCGCTGTCCTAGAGCTAGAGTAGCGGAGTTGTTTTTGCGTATGCCTTCAAGCCTCTGCTTGGGTTTATGCGCTTCCATACACCTGCCCACGCCTTCAACCTTTTTGAAACCTGCGCAATCCTTCATGTTGCCATGATCCAGTACAGGCATCCGGCGTAGACTGCCTCCTGGAGACAGAGGCTGCTGCGACGCATTCTACGCCACTCTGCCGGCCGCAGCTCTCCGCCGGGGGCTGGCCTGAAGATCACAGCCAGGCCAGCATGGCTGTTGTAAGGTGCTCATTTCCAAAAAACATATTGCGTTTTCAGAGGCATACAAGGTCCCGTTTAAAGGGGGCGTCATGGGGTCTACATAATTTAGGGAAATATAGCGTGTTGCGTATAATGTAGATAAATCAAACGGAAGAGAAGACGGAACATGAAATGGAAGTAGGATTGTACCCAGGTTTATTGTGTATATGGACTGATGGCAAACCGCATGAAAAACAAACGGGAACTGGGATTGCACGGTTGGGGAGATCCCCCTGTTATGACACAGTAATGAAGAATCAAATGGGAAAGAACGTGGAAAATGAAGTGGATGCTGGGATTCTATGGTGGTGCAAAGGCTTACGGCTAGGTTAAAAACGCAACTTAGAGCCAGGTAATATCCTGTGGTCTCTTTTGCTTAATGATGCCCTAATGAGCAATGCTTCAACTACCAAGTCCACGCAAATACCTGGATCATGGCCTAAGACCCAGTATTTGGGATCCCATAGCCCCTTTGTAAATTATAGTTTTTTTACAACACAGGGGCACGACACCAACATAGAGACCAAAATCCTATGATCCTTGTTATGAGAACCGCCACAATTGAACCCACCCCCCGTCCTCCCCAGCGAAATTTTTGAGAAAACTTAAACCTTTAACCTCGAATTCGATAGTCGCGGTAGCCCAAAACGGTTTACACCTTGCACGATGTGATCGCTCGCAGGGGGGTGGGGCCTTGTTGTCAAATCGTACACTCCTGGGGGCTGGGTCTGCGTTTCAGGGTTTTGGGGTTCAGGGTTGGTCCCGCCGACCCAGGCAAGCTACCGGGAGCTCAATACCCCTGAACCAAGCAATATGCATCTTAATCAAGTGAGGGATTCTGGTATCAAGGGTTGTCATATATTATTTTTTGTGTTACGCATACACCTAACCTGGCCCTAAACTTAGGTCATTTTCGTCAAAGTAGCAGCCACCACAAAAGGTGCTAGGAGTTATAGTAGCGCCTTCATGAGGCCCCCTTCATCACAGTTGCTGTAAGGGGGAATGACTCAAGATATGAATCCGAAACCCGGAGCCTTACTAACTTTTGAAATTTCTTCTCCATGTGCTTCTAGTTTGTAAGCCAGCCAGGGCTACTGGGAGCGGGGAGCGGGAACGGCCCTAAACTCTAAACCCAAAGCTCTCAACCCTGAACCCCAAGCTCTAAGCCCTAAATCCTAAAGCCTAAGCTTCAAACCCTAGATCCTAAGCTCTAAACCCTAAACCCTAAGCTCTAAACCCTAATTTTTAAAGCCCTAAATCCTAAGCTCTAAACCCTAGACCCTAAACTCCTCACAGGAACCGCGGATGCTCAGCAGGGGTGGCCCAAGGCCCCTGGCCATGCCGATGACAGGCGAGCTTGAAAGAAAGGTCGAGCTTCGGGTTTAGGGCTCAATGTCTAGGGTTTGGGGTTTAAGGTGTTAGGATTTAGGGTTTAAGGTGTTAGGGTTTAGGGTTTAAGGTGTTAGGGTTTGGGGTGTAAGGTGTTAGGGTTTAGGGTTTACGGTTTAGCGTTTAGGGTCTAGGTCTCAGGTTATAGAGTTTAGGTGTTAGGGTGTAGGTTTCAGGTCTTAGGGTTTAGGTGTTAGGATTTAGGGTTTAAGGTTTAGGTTTTAGGTCTTAGAGTTTAAGGTTTAGGGTTTCAGGTCTATAGGGTTTAGGGTTTAGGTCCCACATGTATACACATATATGTTTATATAACTATATATGTATACGAGTGTATATATATATACATATATATATAGATGTACGTGCATATGTTGGTTTTCGGGTTATATTGGATATGTGGGGGATGTAGTTGTACTTAAATGGGGGATGTATTAGTACCGGGGATGTACATTACCTAGAGAGGAATGTATCGTACTTGAGTCGGTGTGCGCGTGTAGTGCTTGCTTCGTGGATGCCTAGGACATACGTGGCTGTATGTATCGTATTTGCATTGGTAAATGTTCAGTGCTCGAATGGGGCGTATACTAACATTACTTAGATCGGGAGAGAGAGAGAGAGAGAGAGAGAGAGAGAGAGAAAGAGAAAGAGAAAGAGAGAGACAGAGAGAGAGAGAGTTTTTTTTTATATGTGTGTGTGCAACGCCCATTAAGTATACCTGAGCTTCCGCCATTGCCCTCCTGAAGCGAGGATGCAACAGTATCAGTCTGTAACACGGGTAGCAACTATGAGTGTAACGTCCAGTTACCAATTACTTAGAACACCAACATTCATAGCATAGTAGAGGACATCGTAAGCGGAGTAGTAGTTGTCGTGGACAGCTGTCATACGGCTACTAATGATCGTGGGGCGCACAGCAATACTTCAAGGACTAGCTCACGTGACCAGCAACACAATATGGTGCTAACACAGTTGGTCCTACAATGATTGGGGATTAGCAAGAATGTTCGCAGACATAAACATGCACATACGTATGTACATCATTTTTAATGTATCTTCGTATGTACAACACGTGGTTCTAGACCCAAAGCTCTGCTTACAGGCGAGTTTGGCCTTACCGACCCCCAGCCTGCTCTCTTCCTGGAGCCTGCGCGCAGCTCGCGTGGAAGCACACCTTTGAGCCCAAAACGGTTGTCGCCATCTCCGCAAGGCACGTCACTAGCTGGTTGAAAGTCATAGGCATCGTTTTCCCCGCCCCCTCCCCCCCGCCCGCGGCCCCCTGCCCTCCTGGTAAAGAATGTCTTTAGGAGGACCCCTTACAAACAGCAGACATGTTGGAGAAGCCCTTCAGGTCTGCAGTCTGAGGCTGGGGTCGAGGAGCAGATTTCAAGCCTTCCAGATTTGATAGATGATGATGCGAAGGGGCCAGCTCTGGAGGGCCAAAATGATACGCTGAAGGCAGCTGGGGTTTTGTGTGTTTAGAGCTTAGGGTTTAGGGTTTAAAGCTTAGGGTTTGGGGTTGAGGGTTAAGGGGATTCCATCATCTTGTATTTGTAGCCTTTGAACACCTGCATCCCCAGCCTGTCTTCTCGGAGTCAGGGGCCCGTGCAATGCAAGAATAAGCATTTGTTTTGGCGTAGAAAACGGGAATCCTTTACTTGGAAATTCCATGCAATCCTCACCTGCAAGCAGAAGCCCAACCTCAGATTTGAGTTAGGCACCTGATGAGATCTCTGCGTCAACTCCGCAAACGCGGCCAGAGGCACTTGAGCACATTGAAGCGCATGGGGAGAATCAAAGCGAGGGTCTGACAGAAACTGGGTGAAGATTACTTACTGGGGGTAAGTAGGGAATGAAGGAATATAATCCCTACATTTCCCTACCAGTTCCCAGTAAGATTAGTTTTCTTCTTTTTTCAGAGGCATGCTGGTTGTTTTCTAGAGCTGCAAAAGGGATCCTGCCTTGTCTTTTCTCGGCTTAAAGCTTAATCAGGTTAGGCTCCCACTCAATAAAAGTGGTACAATAGGAACATATCAGGGCCCTACAGCAAATAGTTGTGGTCAGTATGAGTGGGTCGGAGCCCAAAACCTTAAACCCACACCTTAAACTCTAAACATAGCGGCTGAGGAAGGGCCCGGCCGGCTTTCTTTCCGGCCATCTGGAGAATCCGGCATCGTTGCCACTGGGGCTCTGCAGGAACCATGCGATACTGCGAGACTCTCGGCTTGAAGACAGCAGGGAGCCCAAACCAGGGGCGATGTGGGGGGGCTTCGGGGTATGTTTCAAAACAACCCATATGAACCATTGCATAAATTCCTAGTATCCCCCTTAATAGCCCCTGTAGTAGTCCCCCATAGAATCCTCAATATATCCCCCATAAAGGAGTTTAGACTATAGCCCATATGTCAAGCCTACGAAGGACCCCATATTCCCTCTTATAATCCCTGTGTATCCCTCAGGTCCCCAAGGAGCTCCCCAATTTTTCGGAAACCCCAAATGGTTCATAGTCTAAACTCCTTACTGGGGGTTTATATAGGGGATAATATAGGGGACTACTATAGGGGTCATTAAGGGGGAGACTAGGACTTTAGACAGTATTCTATTTGGGGATACTATGGTGTCCATTATAGAGTAAGATTATATCCTCCTTTTGGTGTATAGTATTTTATAATAAGGAATATAATCTTACTAGG